CAAGGATGTGGAAATTGAGAGAGTGTCGGTGTATAGTGAGAATGATTAGTCTTAAACATTTATACGAAAATTATTTCTCAATTAATTTATCAAAACATCCATAAACGATATTAATTTCTGGCTACTTGTTGGTGACTGTCCATTAATGGCACTATCAGCTTTACAATTAATTTCAAGGCTCCTAATTGAGTTTAACTCCAATAAATGTTATTATCATGTTATATATGGAATGCTTTATCATTAAGTTTTCCCAACTAATGTTACAATCTTCCCTTAAGGTTTATTCTGAAATCTCTGACAAAACTCGAAATCCATCCTTCATTTTCATTTATCATTAGTACAAATTAAAAAAAAAGATAATTTAATGTTAATTTATATATTATTAGATGAGAAATTAATTTGCTTTGATATTATTATAATTATAAAAAAAAGATCTGATTCAATCAAATTTTATTATGTTGATCATATACAAAATATATATTTTAACATCTGAGTATTTAATTTAATGATAAGTGTATGTATTTTTTTATTAAAAATTAATATTTATGGATCAAGAAAGAAAAGAAAGGAAAATTATATATAAGATATACATAAATATAATTACTTGATGAGGCGGATCAAATCTCTTGTCTAATAAGTATTAAGTATATAGTACAAGAATTTTATTTTTGATACCTAAAAAATAATATACAAGATTTGGTTATATTAAAAGTGAAGAAGTCATCAATAATTGGCTTGTAATTAACTAATGTAGTGAATATGATTAATAGATCCCAATTTGTAAAATAGAGTTTATTATCCAATGATGTAAACTACTTAGACTCACGATCAGTTCTTCATTAAAAAGAAAAAGAAATTAGATGTGGAGTATGATCATATAAACGGACTGCTGGGACCCATGAAGGGCAAGATTCAAGGGGAAGTGTGGGCACCCATTTAATTATTTATTTATTCAATCAAAGCTCTTTACCCCTTTATAAAAACCCTCCTCCTTTCTCTCAGCTCCTCAGAATTTCCTCACCCTTGTACATTCCCTTTACCTGCCTCATAAAAATTTCGAAATAATGGCAATTCCATTATCCCTCTTTCTACTGTTCTTGCCTCTCCTGGCTCCCACCTTCATTTTCTCCTCACCAGTTCAGGACCCTGAGCAAGTAGTACAGCAAGTCAATGAGTACGTATTTCATAAACTTTATACCATTTTGATCTTACATTAGAAAACTAAACAGTTACCGTTATTCAAGTGTCACATTTTTGTTTAACTTCTGTGTACACTCTGTGTTTTTATATACAGGAGCGTCAGGAATGCTACTATAGCTAGGAGGAACCTTGGGTATCTCTCATGTGGAACCGGCAACCCTATTGATGACTGCTGGCGGTGCGACCCTCACTGGGAAAATAACCGTCAGAGGCTAGCCGATTGTGCCATTGGGTTCGGGAAGCATGCCATTGGTGGCAGGGATGGCAAACTCTATGTGGTCACTGACTCCAGTGACCGTGACCCAGTCAACCCAAAACCTGGCACTCTTAGGCATGCAGTTATCCAAGACGAACCTTTGTGGATCATTTTTGCTCGTGACATGGTGATCAAATTGAAGGAAGAATTGCTGATGAACTCGTTCAAGACCATCGACGGCCGAGGTGCCAATGTTCACATCGCCGGCGGGCCATGCATTACTATACAGTACGTGACGAACATCATAATCCACGGGATTAACATACATGATTGCAAGAGAGGTGGGAATGCTTACGTGAGGGATTCTCCAAGCCACTACGGTTGGAGGACTATATCCGACGGTGATGGGGTGTCTATTTTTGGAGGGAGCCACGTTTGGGTGGACCATTGTTCTCTGTCTAATTGCAATGATGGGCTGATTGATGCCATTCATGGATCCACGGCCATCACCATTTCTAACAATTACTTGGCCCATCATAATAAGGTCATGCTCTTGGGACACAGCGACTCCTATAAACAGGACAAGAACATGCAAGTCACCATTGCCTTCAACCATTTTGGAGAAGGGCTTGTGCAAAGAATGCCGAGGTAAAATAATTTGAAGTCAAACATTAGCCTTAACCATTCAATAAGCTAATTATTTTGTTTGCATTTAGGTGATTAAGCTATGCACGCTATCCACTATTTTAATAATTCAGATTTGGATTATATTATTTCTACAGGAACTCACTCTCAAATGTGATTTATATATATATATATATATATATATATTCAATTTAGAAACTTATACATAATGAACTATAGGCACAAGCATGAATTCTTTTCTTTCAAAACAAAAATTACGACTAGTAAAATCTATATGCAAAGCTCTTATAATTTCCTTTTCACCTTGCATACAGATGCAGACTTGGATATTTTCACGTGGTGAACAATGATTACACGCATTGGGAAATGTATGCAATCGGTGGCAGTGCTAACCCCACAATCAACAGCCAGGGCAATAGATTCCTTGCACCAAATAACGAATACAACAAAGAGGTCAGACCAAAAATCTCCAATCAGTGAACCCCTTTTTAGCGTATCCAAGATAGAAATTAGTAGAGAATATCAGTAAGCTTTAAACTAACATCAATATTCAACAAGATTCAGGTTACTAAACACGAGGATGCGCCGCAAAGTCAATGGAAGCATTGGAATTGGAGGTCCGACGGGGATTCGATGTTGAATGGAGCCTTCTTCACGCCATCTGGCACCGGAGCCTCTTCGAGTTATGCCAAGGCCTCGAGCCTGGGTGCGAGACCCTCCTCACTGGTCGGCTCGCTCACAGCCGGGGCGGGTTCACTTGTTTGCAAGAAGGGCTCGCGCTGCTAGGCATGCGACGCCAATGGTCTGCTAATAGCAATAAATTACGTACTAAAGATAAAAATTGAAACATGAAAAGAAAAATGGAAGAACAATAAGGCCAACTGTAATTAAAAGCGTCAGCATTCATGTTTCTGTATATTGGTAATTTTTGTGTGTCTTGACTTGGATGTATACAACTGCAAAGCTTGGATCAGTCTCTTTCTGTAAAGGCACTTGATCAGCTGGCAGAAACAAGAGCAGAAATAGTGTAATTTAATCGATGAAATGAGTCATCATTATTATACATCGAAAGTGTTCTCCCTCTTTTTCATGCACTTAGAGGTTTTCTTCCCTCACATGGGGTGGTACAGTCGGCAGCAGGGTGTGAATTGAAATTGGTTCAAGGATTTACAGAAAAGGACAAAAGAGAAAAAGACTTTGCCACCAAGAGCATGTTTTAAATTTATTATTATGTACTGAAAAAGTATTGCTATAAATTGTATTTTAATTAATTTTAAAAAGGTATTTTTAAAACTGCGGTTAACAAAACTTTGTTTTCCTTTGTAATAAACCAGGACCATTTTTGGCTTATTGATTGCGACTGCCTGTTGGTTCACCTTTTGACAAAGTTGCACGGTTGCGGGCCTTTTATCTGGGTTGTTCTTTTTTATTATTATTATAACTATTATTTAAAAAAAAAAAAAAGGATGGGAATGCTTCAACCGACACCAATTCACGAGCAGCTAAGGCGTCTATTATTAAAGGTCCTGTCTCCGACAATTCCAGTTGCCATAAATGACACCACCTATCCTCAATCCTTGCCATCCCATCCTTAAATAGCATTTGGAAGATTGGTACTGCAGGCTAAACTGCCACTATTTCTTTCTTTCCTTCTTTTTCTCTTACAAGATGTTCAGCGCACTTTCCGGTTTCAATTAAGGCCCAACCTACGGAAGCTAGGCTGCGTGATACACGGCGGGAGGAAGACTTCAACACTAGCTTTCTTTCCTTTCTCCTTTTTGGTTTTTTTTTTATATGTTTTTATGCCAGGTTACTTTTATTACTGAATTCCTTATTGATAATTTTCTTTTTGGTAAAATTAACGCACGGCGGGCTTACTCACCTAAAATTGTCTCATTTCAATACTTGAGCACTGTTTGGTCTTTGCTTAGTGATGTGTTTTGAGTGTAGCCAGAAGGACAAAAGAAGAAGTGGTGCTGAATATTCGCTCCAGAGTACTTCATTGAAGACAAGACATAAGCCCAAGTATGAACAAGGGGACCCCATCAGCTGTTGGGCCTTCTCCAACAGAACCAAGTAGTACCACTTTTATTGACTGTCCCTTTGGCTACGCCCTCGCATCAAGCAACTTTCTGCCTCATGTCCGCCACCAAAATTATATAATTCCTTGCACCAACTAGCCTTCCCTAGCTTATAAGAAAATAGGAAGCTCGCATTTATGAGAGATAATTACACATTTGGCATTCAAATTATAGAAAATATTACTTTTTAAATATCTAAAGTTTAAAATTTTATAATATATATTTTCAACTTTCTTAACGATATTAATCAAACAAACAACGTTATAAAATTGCACGTTTCTTTACACAATAAGAAATGGTTGGAGCAGGCAAAGGCATCCAAAGTGCCATACACCCTTACCGTCAAGTGTCAACTCTTCCGCAATTTGCATTAACATAATATAAGAATAAAGTTGTCCCTTATATGTACTACAATATTTGATTGATGTAAAATCCCTTACTTGAAAAAAAAATTAAATTTTCTTTTTTCAAATCTATAAAAAATAAAATAAAATTGCCCAATATATGATAGAAGAGAGATCCTTGTACAATTAACAACACCGTTGCCTCACATGTCCTTCCAGCTGAAAAACAACACATCAAGAGTATAAAATTGATCTGACCCCAACCAACTAGGAAAAAATAAAGGACAATCTCACAAGAAATTTCCCAATCATTGTTTTTTCGTAACACTAGTACACATACTGTGTAAGACATAATATAGACCTAATTTAATAACTAATTTTATGTGATTTACGGCACACATTGCTTTATACATTACAATAAAAAATTATTATATCGAAACTATGCTTAATAAGTTACAAGTATAACCATTAATAATTTAAGAGATTACTACGTTCTCAACTCTCAAAATGTAAACATAACAACTAGAGACGAAATATTAGAGGGAAACAACCAAAATTTTGAACCCAAAATTACACATTAACTAGCATTTTTACATCCAGCAGGGGCAATGCATAGATGACTGAAAGTAACTAGAGAAAAGAAACAAGTAACCACTCAGCAAGAATAGTGATATCATTCTATCAACCAAGGGAGTGGCAGTTCAAAAATTATAAGCCAACAACATGTTTCTCTCAGGTGAACCATACAGACCCATCAATCACATTAGACCTCAGTAGTCTGATGGAGAAATGACATCATCGATCTTCAAAATCATCTTAACAACTTGTGTTGCCAGCAAGATCTGCTGCTGCTTCCCAATCAGTGTCTCAAAGACGTTTTGCTCGCGCATATCATTAGTCCCAACATCATTGCAGTCAATTCCAAAGTGAGGATTATTCTCCTGCACATCAGATACAAAATCAATATTTTACTCCATGCTGCTGAAATTATAGAAGAACAAAAATTGGTCATCATGCTAATTAATAATTACCTTAATTTGCTGAGATTTCACTGCTGATAGTGTCTCAATGGGTTGGAGCCCACTATTCTCCGCCAGTGCCATGGGGACTGCATCTAAAGCATCTGCAAATGCCCTGATTGCATACTGTGGATAAAAGAAAATAAATACCATATAATTACTCCAAGAAAAAGGAATACTAAAATATTTTGATGAATACACATGCTTCTTCATACCTGCTCAACTCCTGGATATTTATCTGCAGCTGCCTCTACAGCAATTGAGCAAGAAATCTCAGCAGAGCCACCACCATAGACTATAGAATTGTTGCGGATTAGATTCCTGGCCACACACAATGCATCATGGATACTGCGCTTGGTCTCCTCTATCATCATCTTGTTTCCTGATACATCATCAAACACAAGAGACACCTTCTATGAGATATATCTCCCTAATCCATCTCAATTCAGCCTAACGCATTACACCTCTATGAGCAACCCTAAACCCATTATTATTAATTGAGCATAATGCAATAAGCCACAACTCAATTGCAACCAAATAGAACAAGGGGAAAGAATCTACCTCCACGAATAAATATGGTTACAGCCCTTGAATTTGCACAGTGTTCAATGTACAACATTTTATCTTTTGTGGTTCCAAAAGACTTCTCTCTGACCAAACCAGCCTAAAAAAATAGAATAAATAACAAGTGTTTCCTGTAAGATACAGATGCAATACCAGGGGATTAACCTGAGATTTTAAACTGTAAAAATTCAGCAAACGTGGATTGCTAGTCCAAATGAGCAATGCATTAGTGCTTGCTTAAATTAAAAGTCATCAAATATTGTATCATCTCACTTGAGCTTCACCTGTTGTCTATCTAATGCATGAAAAAGTTTCCAAGAGAGGAATTAATCAAGCACACATTTCTAAGAAATATAAACAAGGAAAGAATGCTGCAAAACATACCCTTCCCAGCTTTTCTGGGGTCAACTCTTGGAACCTTGGCACAATCCTTCCACCTATGAAAATAAACATAATTAGATTGCTAGTAAGGTTGCACAAAATGTTAGCAACAAAATACTTATCTATCATGAATTTGGCTACCATGTCTTGAAATGAAAATAAACTAAACAGAAACAAACCTGTAGCTATTGCTATGAGCTCCAACTCCACACCACCAACCCATCTCACAGCAGGCAAGTTCCGGTGCATTAATAAATGATTTGCCTCATCATCAAAACCCCATTGACAGATAACCAAGGTGGCACCAACATCCTGCAACAACATTATTATCAGAACAAGTTGTCTACCCCAAAATTGCAAAGGTGACCATAGCAACAATCCACCTCCACCCCCTCTCTCCCCAAAGAGAATAATCTAAAGCAAGATAGAACATGAAAGGTTGATCAAAAATAGAGAAAGAAATTCCTCAAAACTCAAATCTGCAGCCATACCTTGCACTTTTGGACCATGTCATCAAAATACTTTTGCTCTTGCAGACGCAAAGTCTGAAACTTTTCCACTGTATCAATCTCCACCTTATGTTTAGTCTTTGGCTTAGGTGGCTCAAATGGACAAGTTAATATAGCAATTTTTGCATCTCCAATTTGCTTTGGCATCTGTGGATGACTCATGTCCTTGTCAACAGTGATTCCGTATATTAGCTCAGTATCTTCCAGTTTCCCCCCAACTTTTCCCTCGACCTTAATCAAATCTAAATTGACATCTTTCCTCTCTAGATCAGCAACAGAAAGAACTGCTTTAACAGAAATCTCAGACAAAGGGCGCTTGCATCGATTCACACTGTAAAACAACAAAAAATGGTTGCAAATTCAAAATACAGAAGATATACATAATATATCAGTCTAGCAATGCACTCTCAACTTTTTGCCTTTAAATCCCCAATATTAGGAGTCTCACTTCTCAATGCTAACAAGTTTATAATTGCTAGATGATGGCATGTTTTAACTGAGCCAAGAGCCACATAATTCAGATGGTTCAACACACCACCATAAACACCCCAGTGGTTATTTCAATCTTGCAAACATCCCAAAAAGTCAACATTGAGATCTGAATTTGACGATCATTCAGGAAAAGACAATAAGGGGAAAATGTAACCAAAAGGACTACCAATCAAGACCAACTAATATCCTTGCAAGTTAAGGTGTCAGCATTTGAACAGTTTGAACTAACATTTAGAAACATTGTTCTTACCAAACTAGATAATACTAGCACCTGTAATTCGTTTAAAAGCTTCCACAACATAATGCATTAAAGTCAAGCTTAATGGCACCTTGTACAGATCAAAGTATCACCTTATGGAAAATCTTTATTCAATTGCAGACTACTATACTGGAAGAAATATAGTAAAGCAATTAATTTTTTTTTAACATGATAATGATAGCAACACAATGAAACCAGGAGCCTGTAATTTGATATGACAAATCCCAGTGGCTGACATAGGATATCATGATGAGCAAAAAAATAGGATAGATGATATACACATGAATTATCCTTCACAAAATTAAAAAAAAAAAAAAGGAACATCTTGCAACAAATTAGACATAATTTCTCCTTACAGCAGAGCAAGATGCAAGCAAAAATTTAGCCCTGGCAACATAAGAAGCTAGTATAGTGCCTGTTATAGTCATAATATGAATGTTTCTAGTCATGCATTATGGCAATCTGAACATCATAAGGGCAATAGAAAGTGCAGCAACAGACCAGGAAAAAGAGCTAGGAAACTTACATTTTTGAGGACAGGGTGGTCATGCAAGTTTGAACCAAAGGCTCTATATTTGTTGTTCCAAAATCAAACTTCTGAGCTATACGCTCCAAATGCTCAACAGCTATTCTAGAAGCCACTTCATAGCCCTCTGCAACCCGAATGGGATGAATCCCACGCTCTAATAGCCGCTCTGCCTGCTCTAGAAGAGCTCCAGCCATGACAACAACACCAGTTGTTCCATCACCAATTTCATAATCCTGGCTCCGAGACAGTTCAACCATCAATTTAGCAATTTGATTATCAACATCCATCTGCTCCAATATTGTAGCCCCATCATTTGCTGACAAAATCCCAAAAAAGAAAAAACATCAGGAAACGTCAAACACAATCTAAGCATAATTGCAAATAAAAAAATCTGATATGCTTAGGTTCAACAATAACTCCTGAAATATAAACTTCAACAAGCTTTGTCCTGAAACACTAAGCTTATAAGGTTAAGTCAGCATAGTTTATCTACATTAACTTTACCTAAAGAAACAAAAAGTAATCAAGTTTCTAAAGTAACTACAAATCCCAAAATTACCAATAAGCCTAACATTTCTCTCCACAAACAACTTAACCTAACTACCTTCTCATTTCGAAGTTCCACGTCAAACAGATCCATAACAGAAAATTCATTTCTAAAAAACCCTAATCCAGTAACCAAGAACTTGGAGATCAAGAAAAAAATTTAATAAACAAAAAGATAAAAAAGGAAGAAGAGGTTAAAAAGAGTTAACTGATGGTGACATCGCCGTCGGGGCTTTGGAGCATCTTATCCATGCCCTTGGGGCCGAGAGAGGTTCTGAGGATCCGAGCCACCGCCCTGCCCGCGGAAATGTTGGCTTTTTGGGCTTCAATCCCTCTCAGCCTTGTTTTCTGCTCTTGCTCTTTTAGTATAATGAAGGGCCTACCGAACTCGTCGAATGCCAACGCCATTTTCTCCTGGTGTTATTGTTTCGTCGCGGATCTATTCTTCTTCTTCTTCTTCAATGTTTCAGTCCCTTGAAGAGTTGGAAGTGAGAAGAAGACTGTGGAAGCTTTTTAGCAAAATGTTGGCTCGCCTTTCCTTTTCTCTGTGTTTTCAAAGCCCTAACCAGTGGCTCTTTTTGTAATTTCAGACCGTTTCTTTTGCTCCTTTTTTGGGCTTGCATGCCTGTCCGTATTGGGTTAGGCCCATTATTCACAGAAAAATCTTACATGGCCCATTAAGACCAATGATAAGAGATTTGCATTGTTTTGCTCTAAAAAAATTTTTAAAATCATAGAAAAGAATTTATTAACTAGGTCATATCATGACATTTTTCTTCACATAAAATTCATTTCCATTACTTTCTCATTATTTACCACCAATGTGTATAATACGATAAAAAAAATCATTAAATAGATTACTTTTATCATCACAACCATATCATCACGACTTGCAAATCAATGACAAGCCTAATCTACGCAATTAGCGAGTTGACAACGAATGAGAGTTGTCGTCGTGCACAAAAGACGCTAGTAGGATTGAGTCACATGGGAACTAGAATGATGAGTTATGTGAAACGAAGCAAATTAGTGGACTTGCTATGCAAGACCAACACGCTTGTGGGTCATGCATACATGAGTTGTCTACTTAGGTTGGGCTTCTTGTTAACACTACCAACTTGGGTAGTTAAGTTAGTTTAGGAAAAGTAGGCTAGTTATGTTTTACTTAAAAATAGAACACTTATTTTAATTATATTTTTTGTTAATTATTCTAATTATACTTGACAATTAAAAGTAGAGTTCTTTTAGGAATAAGATAGGCTGTATTATAACTAGCCCCTTTTAATTTCAATGTAAGCATAGGGAAAAAAATATACCAATAGTCGACATAAGTTTATTGGGTCGTGTGGAATAATATATTTTATTTCTCTCATATCTTCTTCTTTAGTTAACGTTTAAGGGTGAGCATTCAGTTAAATCGGTTAATTTAGTTAAGAAATATTATTAATTGATTTAATTGATTTTTCTAAAAAAAATAATTGAACCAAACCGATTTAGCAACTTTAACTGACTTTAGTTAGTTTAATTGGTTTTAATCAAATTTTTTTAACCTTTTTATTTTTTAATTTATTTAAAAATATATTAATAATGTACTTCATGTTACCACATACTACATTATTACTTATAATTTTACTAATATACTAATATAGTTTATTATTAATATGTAATTTTTGACTAATTATATTTGTTATACTATTTATTGATTAATTCGTGTATTAATAAGTATAGTATCTATAGTGTATTAAGATATGTATTATATAATGTATAACTGTAAACAATATAGACTATATTAATATTTACTTTATATAGTTATATAGTATATATGTATATTGTATTGATGTAAATTATATATAGTGTATAACTATATACTAATACAATGCATTGTGTATTAATATGTTACTATATATAGTTAATATTTACTTATATAGTATATAAGTATACTAAGAAGGCATATAACATATATACTATATAATAGTATATTGTTATATATAATAGTAAATTGTTATATATAATAGTAAATTGTTAGAGTAATTAGTATATTAATAAGTATACTATATAATATATAATATATTGTTATATATTATAATATAGTTAATTATTAATATAAGTTATATTACTATAGAATACTAATATTAATATAACTTACTTTAGTAATATAAGTTATACGATAGTAACATTAATATACTTATATATATTAATAAGTTACTACATTAAATTATTAATATTAATTATATTACAATAGGACACTAATATTACTAGTTTAATATACCTTACTATATTAATATTATTTATACTATATTACTATAGTTTATTAATAATTTATAAAAAAATAAGTTATTATAGTCTATGATACTCTATATAGTATAGACTATATATTGTACCTTAATAAATATACTATATAAAGTATAATATATTAATAACTTAAGCTTAGGGTATAGTTTTCATATATTAATATCTACATAAAGTGTATTTTATATTTTATTTTTGATGATTAAATTTAAGTCATTTATTCATACACAAGGATAGAAAAAATGTGTGAGTTAATACAGGTAAGAAAATCCCTCTTGATAATTGAATGTAGCATATCATTAATATATATATATATATATAATCAGTTTAAGTGCATACATGTAATAAAGACCTTTAAATATATTTATTTCAAAGTCGGTTAATTTGATTAACCGACTTCAAAATTTTTAGCCATGAGTGCATCTCATGGCTTGTTAAGCACACTCAAGGTCATAGTAAGTTGAACAGGATCTTAGCCTAATAGAAAGATCTTAAAAGAGATTTTTTCGAAATGACTTTGAAGATTGTCATTTTATATATAAAATAACGAGAGAACTATTTAAAATTTTAAAGCCTATTTTAAATAGTTTATGCATGATTATATTTATCGCTTTTATCTTCTCTATTCAAACATAATTCATAGACATGGCTAACAACTTGCCACTTCAAAGCATCTCGGATACAAACAAATTCACTGGCCTAAACTTTCTAGATTGATTTCAGAACCTCAAGATCGTCTTGAGACAAGAAAAGAAATCATATGTTCTTGACACAACTATTCCACCAATCTCTACCTATGATGCTAGTGCTAAGAATAAGGAGGCATATCAACGTCATAAGGATGACAATAATCAGGCAGCTTGCATGCTGCTAGCTAGTATGACCCTTGAGCTCCAAAAGCAATACGAGCACATGGATGTCTAATCCATGATTTTTCAACTTAGAGAATTGTTCAATAGTGAATGGTGCACTAAGAGATATGAGATATCTAAGGAATTGTTCTAGTGCAAGACAGTAGAAAAGAGTTTTTTCAGACCTCGCATATCGAAGATGGTTGGACTTATTGAGAGGCTTGGACAATTAGGACTGACGATGGATCATGAGTTGAATACTAATTTAGTTCTACAGTCTTTTCCTGACAGCTTCAATTAGTTTTTGTTGAACTTTCATATGAACTAAGTGGGAGCTACTCTTTCCAAACTTCTAAACATGCTAGACTCGGTAGAGAAGTCCATTAAAAGAGAAAAGAGAGCTTTACTTTTTGTTTCTTCTTTAAAAGCTCAAACAAAGCAAAGAAA